CGGAAGCCTGCAGTTGGAGTAAGACTGATTGTTTGTTATTTTTGTTTTTTTTGAGACAGGGCTTTCATTCTGTTACCCAAGGTGGAGAGCCAGTGTGGCATAATCATAGCTCACTGCAGCCTCAAACTCCTGGGTCAAGCGTGCCTGCCGCCTCAGTCCTAAGTAGCCGTTACTCAGGAACTAAGGCGGTAGTGCCATCAGTGCCTGGACTAATTAAGAAATTTTTTGTAGATTTTTTTAGAGATGGAGTCTCACAATGTTGCCTAGACTGATCGTAAATTCCTGGCCTCAAGTGATCCTCCCACTTCAGCTTCCCAAAATACTGGGATTACAGGCACAAGCCGCCATGCCTGGCCAATACTTTTAATAGATAATTTCATATTGCGTTTCATGACTCTTCTTATTTAGATACACCATGACACTTGTTGGTGGAGGCTTTTAGCTGAACTTGGAATTTCTGTAACCACTGTACATGTTTATTAAATGATGCTAGCCCTACTACTTTCCATTCCCCTGCGTCATATGCTTACACAAAGTCAAACTGGCCTGCTATGGTTATCTTAGAAGCCAGCCTTTCACACCCTGCTGTAGGTATGGTCCCTGAGAAAGTAAGGGCAGACTCTCTTTCCTTTGACAAATTTGTCTATCACCTCTGTCTTAGGAGGAGTGATTTCCTGATTCTATACATGTAAGATATTTGTGGAAAGTCACAAACATCGCCGGCCATTTCAACATTCTTATTCCGTTTTGGGTGACTTAGACCATACATATTAACACTAGCATTCCTTAGATGTTGATAGATGAGTAAGAATCAGATTGTGCACTTCATAACTACAACGGGGTGGTGGGGGGGGGTTCCCAAGAACTACGGATACTGCAAAACAAATCCCTTAAGTAAATAGTGGAAAATGATCGTTTATTTTAAGCCCTTTGAGAAGTTGAAAAATGATGCAAAAGGAAAGAACTCGTCTGTTCTTAGTCAGCTTTTGACCTTTGACTATATAAACATAAGAAACACATGAGCTAGAGCTAGGTAACTAAGCAGGACTTCTCTGCCAGCCAGATGAACAAAATGAATCTTCTCCTTAAGGTTTATAGAGACGTACTAGAGCAACACTACACAAAATTATCACACTCAATAATTTATTCATGAAGAAGGCGGTTGCTAAGATCTTGGCATTCTCAGTAACTTTTTATTTTTCAACCTATAAAATGAGGAGATTGGACCAGATGTTTTCTAGTCTTTCCTGCTCTAAAATGTTGACACCAGGGCCCATCAAGTCAGGCTATCTCAGAATCCACACAACAGTTCCTGTCCTTCCACTCCCCTGATAGCAAAAGCCCCTTATTATCTGGCTTGAAAGTTCTATCGTATGTCATCTTGCCATTAGCACACAACAATTAACACACACAGTATGCGAGGCCCTGCCAAAAGCATCCACAAAGGACGATGAAAGCCTCGGCACCAACATCACGTGCCTCTGTTACTATGCACTGAAATGACCTGGCAGGAAGTGGGCCCCAGAGGAAGAAGGGGAACAACGTCTCCTGTAACCTTTATTATCAGAATCTGTTTAGGGTTGTTATGTGCCACCTTGACCTTCTAGCTGCTCTCTAGCAATGCTTATCTCTCATTTCTTTCAGGTGAAAACGTACCTCCAAGAAACCCTATTTATGGCAAATTCCTGTGTAATCTTCAAGTGTTACATGCCCTGTGACATCTGACATCCCCAATAAGACTTTGGGATTCCTTCCTCTCTAAGTTCCCAATTCATGTTGCACATACACTATAATCTTTTCCCTGCTAGCATGTAAGGTCTTCCCAGGAAGGGCTATGTCTCTTGCCTTTGTATCTCCAGTACCCTAGTGCCTGGCATATAAGAGGAGCTAAACATATATTTGCATAGTAAATGCATAAATGAAAGTCTTTCCTGACCAATTTCATCCTGCTCCGACCACTCTTTCATTATACAGCTTAGACTATTTACATCTTGCTACACAAGCATATGCAGCAAATGAACCACTGAGATGCATTATGATTTTTCTGAGTCAAGGAAAATTTTAACGTGCAAGAAAATTGACTATTTAAAGAAACTTTATGTGAATATTTTTGTAACTGGTCAAGGAAGACATGAATTCAAATATTTACAGGGATTTTAAGGAGCAGTCTGAGGGAGGGAGTCCAGAGCTATTCTGTCTAGAATGCAAACTGCCTGAAGAGTCTAAGAACTGGCCTGTTTGCCTCTTCTCAGCCCACACTCCTCAATACCCTAAATTCAAACCTGAATAAAAATTAATAGCAGTCACAAGAAGTATACTCTAAAGAGGTTTACATTCACTAAAAAGAAATGAGTATAAAAGAGAATTATTAAATTTTTCACTTTTATTTTTCCTTTATTAGACTATTTCTCAAAATGAACATAGCTTTATTTTTTCTTACCATAAAATAGCATGTGTTAATTGAAATAAAATCAGGCAATACAAAAAGCATAAAGAAAAAAATGAAAATTACCTTTAATCCCATCACTCAGAGAGAATTCTCATTAACATTTTACCTTTCCATATTTTTTCCTATGCATATACAGAAAATGTAGTAATGTTATACATGATGTTTTGTAATCTTTTTTTATTAAGCTGCCACACATTATGGGCATCTTTCCTTTACAATGAATATTGATCTTCATTATTATTTTTAAATCTGCAGAGCAATATCCCATTGTATGTCTGTACTGTTACTTAATAAATTCTCTGTTGATGTCATTTACATAGCTTCCAGGATTTCAGTATTACAAATAACACCGTGATGAACATTTTTGTACACTTTTTCAGTTGCTTCCTTGGTATAAATGCATATTAAGAAACCGAATACATATGGCCAAATTACCCTCTCCAGAGGTTGATTTTATCACACTCCTACCATCACCAATGAGAGCATGTAGCTCCACAACAACAGTGATCAGCAATCTGCAAATATATCAGGCAAGAATTACATTCATTGTTGTTTAATTACTTTGACTACTTGCTAGGGAAGCAGGGATCCAATTCTGACAGAAAATTTCACTTCAGCCACAGAAGCTGCTAGGATCAGTCCCATGTTGGGGAAGTAACGAGCGATGTGAATCTGATAATGGTTTAGGCGACGTTCTGCTTATGTTATTTTTTAAAAACACTCTGTTCTTGAAGTCTATATAGTTAAGTTACTGGCTGTTTTGATTTTCATTTTCCCTTTTGGTCTTGCATATGCAAGAATAACTTGAGAAGAATCTGGAAGAATCATGCAGAACTCATTCGCCAACTTCATGTCCCCCGCTCATCTCAGTGCGAAATGGGTCTAACACTTCTGGTCACCAACGTGACCAGATCATTCTTCTTTACACGCTCCAGTTTCCTGCTGGAAATACTTCTCTCTCTCTCTCTCTCTCTCTCACACACACACACACACACACACACACACCCAGCAGTAACCTTATCCCATCTTTCCCTTCCATTGAGTTTTGACTTTATACCAACTGGCTCTCAGTTCTTCCTGCAAAGCAGGACTGGGCCTGCAGCTCACATTTTTCATTAGAAAACCCAGCAAGGCAGGCAGGTCAATATTGTTATGTGAGGGCGTGCTGAGAGCCAGAGTGCACGATCTACCTGTGGCTGCTTTAATAAGTAGGATGTGACTAGGAGATAATCACAATATAGAATATCTGACTAAACTGTTTCATAGATGGAGTGGACAACTTGTTAGATACTGAAAAAAAAAAAAAACAAATAAACCCAAAGCTTTTCTGAACTCTTACTGTGTTCCAGGCACCATGTTCATCATTTTCCATAAACTGAATGATTTAATGTTCTAATTATACTTTCAGAAACTGAGAACCAAAGCTTCACAAAAGTGAGTAAGTGACAAGGTCAGAATTTAAATCCAATTACAAAGCTCATGGTTTTCATTATACCACGTCCTTGAGAGTGCCCGTGTGTGATGGTTTAAATGGCGAAGAAATCAGGAATGAAAGAGTCAAAGTTCCCACATTTGGTCATCCCTCTAGACTTTATCCTAGCTCCCCCGCCTCCAGTCCCTCACTCCCCACCCCCAACGCCCACACATTCTTTATTTAACAGCTTGACCATTATAGTTAGGTCCAATTTCCCTGGGCTTATGATACTAGTGCCAACTTAGAATAGTGCAATATATCAAGCCAGGCAGCCATGGTGTTCATTACAGGTTCATTATTACATAATCAAGCCAATTTCAATCAAGCTTGTAGGGTTAGGTCAGTAACTTGAAATCATCGATGTCCATGCTGGTCTGTGCCCAGAAATAATGACTTTGATAGTGGGAGGAAGAAGATGAATTTTCCAAACAGCCCCCACAATTCTATCTTAAGGACTCTGAGAATAGCTGATTGCACACGAGGTTACTTTATAAGTGGAGTGGCTCCAGAAATTAACTTACGTTACTGGATGTTAAAAGATATTCATCCTGACTTTCTCACTAAATAAATATTTGGGCTAAGGATAAGCCAAAGTTGTGCTGGACGTTAACAAGTCTTTTGACTTGGTGAACAGTGTGGTGCCACATTTACTGGCAGTTGTATTGAAATAAAGTTGAATTGAACTAAAAGCATCTTACTTTCTGTAACATCTTCAAGAAGGTGTTAACAGGCTAGACGCTCCCTTAGCACTCATCCTTACTGTTTTAAACATTACTCTTTGCACTTTTTGGTTCTGCTCTTAGGTAACAGAAATTGGAGGCAACTGGTAAGTCCTTGATTAGTGTCAGGCACCAATGGGATATACACTTTCTCTATAGGTCATGAACTCAAAAAGAGGGTGGTCTACTGTGGATGACCCCATTAGTTGCCTACCTAGATTTACTTCTTCAGCCCCTTCCTTGCTGGCAGAGCTATTTTGTTCAGGAGCTAATGGGCCCCAAACTAGCCCTTCCATTCTCCTTTCTAATTAGTGGCTTAATCATCATAATATTGCAATGTCTTGTTCTGATGATGGTGATGATGATAATGAAGGCTAACACTTTCTAAGCGTTTACTCTGTGCTAGGTACTTTTTAAAGAACTTTAAAAGGTATCAGCTCATTTCGATATAGGAGTTAAGAAGAAATTGCTTAGGCAGATAGTGAGGGTATGGGAGTCCTCAGTAAGGTTTTCCTTTTAATAAAAACAGCCCCCAATCATTTTCTTTTCCAACAAAGAGCAGCCTGTAAAATCGAGCTGCAGACATAGACAAGCAAAGTAGGAGCTTGCACAGGTGAATTCCGGCAGTTGTGCCCATGGGAATATACTACCCGGGATGAGGCATGTTCAAAGTGGCAGCACCATCTTCTCTTTTTGCCAGCCACATGTACAGTAAGAAGCAGACTAGATGGCACTGCCCAAGTGGAAAGCCCATTTGTATAATAAGATTAGGGTTGGGAGACCAGCCTTCCCCACGTCACACCTGGTCAAACCAATCTGTGAGCCCTACATAAATCAGACACTGCCTCCTCAAGTCTGCTTATAAAATCTGCTGTGGTCCGCCCTTGCCCCTTTTTTCAGACGTCTTACAAGGAGCTGCTCTCCTCTCCCCTTTCTTATGCCTATTAAGCTCCTTAACCCACCCACGTGTCCGTTTCCTTAATCCTCTTGGCGGGAGATGCCGAACCCTGGATATTTACCCCAGACGGTGATGCCATTTCAGTTTCATTCTTGTAAACCAAAAGAGATAGTTCTCAATCAATCTAGAAAGTTTATTTTGCCAAGGTTAAGGACACACCCTGACATAGCCTCAGGAGATCCTGCTGACATGTGCCCAAGGTGGTTGGCTTTTATACATTTTAGGGAGACATGAGACATCAATCAATATGTGTAAGATGTACATTGGTTCACTTCGGTAAGGCAAGACAACTTGAAGGAGAGCTTCCAAATCCTAAATAGATAAGAGACAAAAGGTTGCATTCTTTTGAGTCCTTGATCAGCCCTCCACTGAATACAAAATTTAGTCTGGCTCAGTGAATTTGCATTTTTACATGAACAATAGGGCAGAGAAAGCAATCAGATATGCTCTTGTCTCAGGTGAGCCTCAGAGGGATGACATGGAGCTGCGTCTCTCCTTCGTCCATAAGGAATTTCCTTGTGGGCAAATTGTGAGGGAGGTATGTAGCTTCTTATCTTTGTAGCTATCTTATTTAGGAAAAAAAAATGGGAGGTAGATTACCTGACATAGTTCCCAGCTTGTCTTTTCCCTCGGCTTAGTGATTTGGGGGTCCCGAGATTTATTTTCCTTTCACATTCTCATAATAAAGCCATGAGGAAGGTACCATTATTAAACCCAAGCCCAGAGAGACTAACTTGCCTAAAGTCACACAGCTAGAAAGCAGCAGCTGAACCCCCATAGTTTGATTCTAGAGCTTCCCCCTTAACCACTATGTCTTGTAAGCCAGTGAGACAAGAAGTCTGCTGGAGGAACATCTGGGACACTTTAGAGATGAGTTCTTTTTCTTTGGAATGTTGTCATCTGCATATGATATTTGGAACTGCTGCAGGTATGTTGTGTCTATAATAGGAGTCACGGCTGAGTATATTGGAGTAAAAAGATGGAAGCTGCTGAACATTTTGAAGACATCATTGGGCAAGGTTGAATTAACTAACCTTGGAACTACTCTATCTCTGGAATTGTTTTTCGTGTGACACGATGAACTCAGTATCCTTTAATCTACTTGTTAGATCCCCTGTTACTTGTAGTGAAAAGCACTCTCACTGATACACATAGAAACAAGCATAATTCGGACCTAAGACAAATAGAAATGAGCATAATTCTAACCCTTTTAGGTAGGCACAATATTTGCACTATAAGCAAGATTTTCATTCAGCCAACAAATATTTACTGAATGCCTTCCATTTGCCAGGTATAGTGCAAGTTACTGCACCAAACAATATGGGAAGGGCAGGTTTCTCCATCCATGGAGGTTATAATCTGGTCATAAATGTAGTGAAAGTGCGGGCAGGCATATTTTGGGATGGTATCTTGAGGACTAATCTGGATTGGGAGTCAGAGAAGGCCCTAATAAAATCCAGTAAAAGCATGCATTACAGATTCAATAAGAATCCATATAATGTCTGTATCATCCATCAAGTATTTGTGACATGTTTTGGTTTTAGCTGTATAAGAGCAGTAAGAACTATTATGTGCACAATAGTGTTAGATGTATAAGTATTATTATTATTATTATTTTGAGACGGAGTCTTGCTCCGTCGCCCAGGCCGGAGTGCAGTGGCACGATCTCAGCTCACTGCAAGCTCTGCCTCCTGGGT